GAGACAAGCTTGCCCATTACATTGGCCACAAGCTAAAGAGCATTGCAAGCCCGCTTTCCTGCATCCGCATCGCGAACCACAACCACTCTTGCAGTTGCAGAAAATTGTATTTAGCAAATCTTCTGGAGCAGGTGGTAAAATTGTCATGATAGGCTCCAGAAAATCGTTTCGCATTGCCCAACTCCATACCTGGGGTTCCAAATCATGCCTTAACCAAGTTTGAACTTAATAATATACACGTTTGAAAGGTTGATGAGCAGCTGCTTTTGTTGGTGGAATATTTGAAAGCTGCACAGGTTAATTAAGTTTTGTAGACTTGACGTAATGCATATAACGAAGATGATCGAGACTTTTCACAGATTTCGGAGCATTATAGACTGCCAATAAGATTTGAGTTCCACTCTCTAATAATCTCTGGGCCGAACAATTTTCTTTCTCAAATGCTGCAGCTAGTTCATTCAAATTTGTCAGTTTCTCAAAAACTTTAAAAAATGATTTTTTCCCTTTTTAAAAAGCGCAGAAGTTGTGTCACAGCACTTAATGCGTGCAGAAATAAAATATGTGTTTTGGAATGAGGATAATTATCAAAACTTTTAGTCAAGTATATCCCCGTTTTTACATTTCCTTTCCCAACTTTTTTAAAGAAAATGTCTTGTTCGTAAGACAGTGTACGCCCAATTAAAATGACAAGTAAATCAATATCTTGTCCTATTATAACTGCAGTTTTTTCAGAATTTGATTCTTCAATTGCAGTTTCAACAATAAGAACATCAGCATTATCTCTGGCTTGTTTAGTAGTAATATTTGCAGCTTGTAATTTTTCAATTAACATATTAATGAGCATATCTTTGTTATTTTGATTTGATAAGAATTTTTCTTGAGTAACTGGTACAACTATTGTTTCATCTTCTCTGCTGCTCCATAGCTTTTACGTTCTTACTGTAATCTGAATTTTTTTAAACAAAATTTGTAGAGAATTTTGTATTCTACAATATTGATAATAAATACAAATAGCAAAAAACCCATAAAAAATGAGATATTTACAAAAAAGCGCAAAAAACCGATTTTTGTGACATTTGACCTTGAAATTTAATAGTTGCGTACACCCTGCCATATGTAGGTTTTGAGCAAAGAGGTTAGAAAGGGTAGAGGTAACATAGGAAGCATTTCTCGCTGCGCGAATTTTGCCAAAACCGAAAAACTGGGTGGAAGGAGTAGGGAGGTGTTCTGGGCCGGACTTAAATATTTGTATTGTAGTACCTAATTTTGGTGGGTAATTAAAAGATGAAAAATTATGAGACGTTTGTTCGACTTTATTTGTTAGCACGATTCTTGTATGATGAGGGCAATAACACTTTATCAATATATAACTAGCTAAGGGCCGATTCCACCGTTGTGTCAAACGAAGTTTAAATTATTAAACGAAGATTAAAATGACATTGTTAATATAAAAATGTCATTTTAAACACCATTTAGTAATTTAAACTTCGTTTTTGTTAATATAAAAATGTCATTTTAATCTTCGTTTAGTATGTTAAACTTCGTTTAATAAAACGGTAAAATCGACCCTAAGTAAAAGTTTATAAGTACTTTTTGCTCGAATTACACAAAATATTTTTTCTACGATCACACCAAAATAAAATAAATAACTAAATTTTATTAGAAATGGGTTACCTTTTCGTTCGTTATAATATTTTAAGTTTATTTGACATAGGCCTACTGTTCTAAGAGAAAAAAATGTTTTGGTACTTATATCCTGGTAATTATTTATGATTTAATTATTTACGGAAAATACCGTCCAATGAATTAAAATATTAGAAAGTCAATTAATAGTTATTTATGTAACCAGTTACGAAATGCCTTATTTTGTGTAACGAGTAAATATTTGCAAAACGAGCGGAGCGAGTTCCCGCAACATGAACGACTTACACAAAACGGCATTTCGTAACGTGTTTATATACAAGATTTTTTCTAATTTTGACGTGATTATTTATAAAATTGTGTTGAAAAATGATTCACCATCATTCTTGTGTAGGTACTTCCAATCAAATATTTTAGAAAATTGTTGTATTTGATTGCCCTACGACGTTTTTTTTTCAATAGTAATAATAAAAATAAGGGACATGTGCAGTGTTGCCGATCTAATTTTTGACATTACCCGCGAGAAATTTGAAAAAAAAAACATTTTTACCCATTATCCTTAAAGAAGTACGTCAAAATTTTACCCCCAACATTTCTGGGCAGTTTTCAATAACGGTGTTATTTTAAAAATGAAACGCAATTTACAGCTTCTCTTTTTTTGTTTTTAAACGTAATGTCATATTTTCAAATGTGAAATGTCACTATTCATTGCCTCTTTTTCGATATTTGGTTTTTTCGATTTTTCGTTTTTTGGATTTTTGGATTTTTCAATTTTTTATTTTTAGATTTTTCGATTACTCGATTTCTCGATTTTTCGATTTCTCGGTATCTCAATTTCTCGATTTTATGATTTTTCAACTTAGAAACCAAAAACGAGGCAGTTTTATTTATTTTCATTTCGTAACTGGTGACATAATCAACTTTTCGTAATCAGTTGCATAATGTTCTACTTTATGCAAATGTCCATATAAATATTCATTAAATTTATTTAAGCCAAAAATTATTGCAAGGATCTCTCTTTCAATTTGGGAATATTTTTGTTCGGACTTTGATAAGGTACGCGAAGCAGAAACTATAGATTTCTCAATATTTTTTTTTTTTTTTTTTCAAAGCATGACATATCATGGCCCTTATTCCCACATTTGATGCATCTACGAATAATTTAATCGGCTGAAAATGCACAAGAGCATCATTTATTTTTTATTTATTCCAAAGATTCCTTGCAAAAATTATCCCAAATCTATTTCACCCATAAAAAATTAAATAAAAAAAAGTCCTAAAGCAAAATCATATCCTCATTCCTGTTAGTGACTTAAAAAAATTACTTCCCAAAAAACGGTCCTCAAGCCAGGTCCCTCCATTTTGTGGCGATAGTACTGTTTTTTTTTATTGTGATTATTTTCTTCGCGGAAACTTTGGCTTTACACTTAGAGTAACACTATTATAGAGAATTACTAAATAAATAGTTTTGAGAAAACTATTGAAACCAGTTGTGAAGTTTGAAACGAATAAATTGGCAATGAAATTGATATTTTTGTATTTGATTGTATGTTTCTCTTTTCACTTCCTAAAAAAAGATTCCCTATGAAACAAGAAATAGTAAACAGTTTATAATAATAACCTTTATTTGCTACTTATAACATGTACCAATGACCAAGTCCGATTCTGTTTATTTTCAAATCAACAAATATTGACGTCGACAGAATCTTTAAAAATTAAATATCTCACCGAAATAAATATAAGTTTCTTTTATCTCCGTCACATTTCGCAGGTTTATTATAAATAAAGCTTTTTACAACACATCCTGGCATTTTCAACGTTAATTTCCAAAATTTAAGTCACTAAAATACCAAACTAATTCTCGTTGACACATTAAATTTGGATGGACAACGGTCTGACATGTAATGTTCTCAACTGTGATTGGTGGGTGTGAATCATTTTGAAATGGGATTATGCGCAGTGTCTTATGTTCCATCTAAGGTTTGTATAATCTAAGGTTTTGAGATAACTTTTAGCGTGTCAATATACAAGTATTTACAGACGTACAGCTGGGTATCTCCAGTTCCGAGATTCTTACCTAATTTAAGCTTAAATGACTGGACTAAAAGCAGAAACTTGACGATACAAAGCAACTATTTTTAGAAGCTCAAACTGAAGAAAAAACTGATCAAGATACTATGGATGTTAATGGTTATTAATCATTTTATTTCCTAGAAAAAAATTATTTATTGCATTTAGTATTTTAAATAGAATTCTGCTTAATCCAATGTCTAGTTTTTTACCAAAAATATTTGTTAATACATATTATTTCCACATATATTGATCAGCCTTCATTTGATAATCAAGTTCAGGATAGTGGTGCTCTGGTACGTGTCCAATCGTCAACTGATACAGAAACAACATTTGGTAGTCAGAAATCAGCAATCGTTTCTGACTATAAATCTTCTTTCAGTCAGCTCAATCCGCCTCCCAAAATTGATGTTATGACTCCTGAACTTGCATCTACCCTTGATAGAGTAAACGTTAGTAACCGAAATGCTACTTTTGTTTTAGCTGCTGCTTACCAAAGCATTGGAATAAATATAGAAACATTAAACTTAAGCTATAGTACTATTCGACGAGGTCGTATAGAGTTTAGAAAAACTATCGCTGAACACTTGAAAAATGAGTTCAAAGCTGAAGATCGTTACACTGTTCATTGGGATGGCTTCTAGCTGATTTGGCCGGTTCTGAAACTAAATAGAATTGCAATCATATGTTAATCGAATGTTAATCAACTCCTCGGTGTACCAAAAATATCTGATGCAACTGCAGAAAATCATTCTGTAGCAATATTAAATACATTGGAAGAGTGGAAAGTTACTTCTAACATCAAGGCAATGTGCTTCGACACTCCAGCAGTTAATACTGGTATGATTTGTTTTGTTATCTTATTCAAATGATTGAAAATTAATTAATAGTTGACATTATTTTTGTTGCTCTAATTTATTGGACTTATCTATAATTCAGACATTTACACTTAATTTATAGGAATACTAAATGATACAGCTGCGTTGATTGAAAAAAAATTGAACCGGAAACTAATTTGGTTACCTTGTCGCCACCATATTTTTGAAATTATTTTGAAAGGAGTTTTTGAAGTTTTCTGGCCGACAACTTCTGGTCCTAACGTTCCAATTTTTGGAGGTTTCAAAAATTTTTGGAGCGAAATCGATCAATCGAAGTACCAAAGTGGCATGCAAGATGAATTAATTGCAAATACATTTTTAACGAACAGACTTGAATTGATTAACCTAATTAATAATTTATTAAAGGTATATTATTATTTTGTGCTCGAAACAGTTGAAAATTTGCGTTTGATGATTTCAATTAACGAATTTTTTATTAAACAGGTTGCTCAGCCAAGAAATGATTACAAGGAACTTCTCGACTTATCATTGATTTTTCTTGATGGTCTCCCAGAAGGTACAGCAAGTTTTAAATGCCCAGGATTAATGCATCATACACGATGGATGGCTAAAGCGATTTACAGCTTAAAAATCTTCATGTTCAGAGATCAATTTTCATTTTCTAAACGAGAAATTGATAGCTTGCGTCAAATATGTACTTTTATTATTTTAATTTACTTCAAAGTATGGTTTACTTGTTCTGTGGCAATCCAAGCGCCGAATAATGATCTGCAATTGTTGAAGAAGTTACTTTCTTGCCCAGAAATTCAATTGCCAATGCTACAAAAAGCTTTAAAAAATTTAAGTGCTCATCTATGGTACTTGGATGAAGAACTAGCAGCACTCGCATTATTTGATAACAATGTCTCAGATGAAATGAAAAGAAAAATGTGTAGAGCGATCAGTCAAAATGAGCAGAGTAACATTATCAGAGAGAAACGATACGTCGCTAGAAAACTTGATTTAATGTCATTTTCAAACAAAGATTTGAGTGAATTTTTTTTGAAAAATTCACTCAAACTTTTCGAAACGTTTGATTTACCATGTGATTTTCTAGAAGTAGATGTATCGCTGTGGCCTAACAATGAAAGTTATAAAGATAATTTGGATTTTTTTAAACAACTTTCTGTGGTTAATGATGTAGCAGAACGTGGTATCGCTTTGATTGAAGATTACAACAACTGTTTAACCAAGAACGAAGAACAATAATTATTACAGTATCTTTTGCAAGTGGTTAAAGAACATCGTCGTCGTTTTCCGGACTGTAATAAAAAACCTTAACATAGTCTGGGTTTAAGAATACTATTGATTGGAAATCTAAAACTGATAATTCATAACTGATGTCCTTAACTATTTATAAATGTAACTATGGAAAAAAGTGATAATAAGAAGCAAAATTTTGAAAAAAAATTAATAATATTAATAAATAGTTGAAAAAAAAATGGAATTTTATTGTAATTTTAACTTTGACCTCGAATCACTTTTACATGGCTAGGATAATCAAAAAATTTCCAAAGATTTTTTTGTGGAGCGTCAAATTTCCTGTAGAATAATTTTTGGTTTGATAATCCATTCAACCGCTTCAGAGTTACAAAATTCCAAAATTAAAAAAAAAAATTTCCGTGTTACTTAAATGGGAAATAGAAATCTGCGATTCGCGACCTCTTAATATTAATATTAAAGGCTCTCGTTTTCACAGGTATCTTTTAACACCTTCTCGAAAGTTTTTACATGAGGATTTCGAAAAAAAAATTAATTATTTTTTTGAATCAGGCTAATTCACATAGTCAATAACGTGACTTTTTGTAAAATTTTACATTTTTTTCAAAAAACTGCTAAAACGTAGCATTAATTTTAAAAATTAATGAGGAAAAAGTTGCTTATTATTTAATTTTTTGCTCGTATACCAATTTTCAAGTTCTTAGCCTAACGTTTGTTCTTTCAACGACTTTTTGTATGTCAAATTTTAAATTTTATTTTTCAAAATTTCACAAAAGGCTCGAAGAAAAAAGTTGAATATTATTTAGCTTTTTGCTCATATACCAACTTTCAGCTTTTGTTATTTTCAATATTTTACAAATTCATTTTTTGGTTACTCGAAGTAAATAATAATAAGCAACTTTTTCCTTATGTATTTTTCAATATTTTGTAAAATAATACCATATTTTTGATATTTAAAGGAAAAATTGTCAAATTTTACATTTCTAAAGTCACGTGATTGACCACTTACATATCATTTGTTATCATTTTTTGGGGCTAAAAATGATGGAGGTCAAAATTTATCAAATAGGAAAAAAATCCCATATGATGCAGACTTTATGTGGGACACTGTATATCATATATTATATCTAAATAAATAATTCTAAATGATATTCAAACGATTTTTTTAATAATTATTTTAACCCAATTTATCATTATACCTTTAGAACAGAACTTAATGGCTAGAGTAGGTACGTATTTGCGTAGAGACGACCGCCTGCTGATAACTCAAATGGTTGGCGTCCCCTCTCTTTCCTAGTCTATTTAGTCAATTTCTCACGTTGTTTCCATTATTTATAAAAACAGGACTTCATACATTTTAAAAATTTATTAAAGTACGCCACTGTGAATAGCAGCGAGCTTTTGGAATATAGGAAAATCCATCAAACGAATTGACATGTATATATTTGTAATCCTTATTTAAAGATCATCGAATCCAGATTATCGTGGGTAGCTTTTATTTGCCGTCGGAATATGTTTTCGTGTTTTTTCGTTTCCTTTTGCGACTGTTTTCATGTACAAATATTCGAATGTCTGTCAATTGTATCATTGTAAATAGATGATAACTGCATTTAGAATAGTTATTTTTAACATTACATACGTTATATTTTTGTGAAAAATTTTGGAATAGATCGATGTTTGGTTAAATACCGGGTATGATTACTGATCAAGATCATAAACAACAATAGTACGTATTTTTATGGGGAACTAAACACCGGTCGTGAAATCCAATGTTAAACACTTAACTATCTGAGCCATAAAGGCTAAATGTCAAATCTAGGTGTAAAAATTTTACTATTATACCGGATGTTCAAACTAAAGTGTTAAATATCGCCGAAAATATGCATTTTAGAAAAAAGTTTTAGACAAAAGTTTTATAGTTTTTTGGGGGAAACATTTTGGATAAATAAATTTTTTTATAGCTGACCATAATATGGCTATATCGAGGTGGACTTTGTTTTTTTAAATGGGAATCCCATTTTTTTACATATTCTTAAAGTACATAAAAAAATAAGAAACTTTTGATGAAAATATTTTTTTATTGGACTTTTACTTTTTGAGTAACAGCTACTTGAAAATTTTGCTGGGCGAAAGAAAAGTTGGCCATACTATGGTTAGCTATAAAAAACGATTTTAGCCAAAAAAAATTTCCCACAAAACTATAAAACTTTCGTCTGAAACGTTGTTTTTTTTATAAAAGGCGGTATATAGCTGTAACACTTTAATTTGAACACCCGGTATATAAAAATGACGCAAATTACATAATAGAAACCGCTGATCTATCGAGAAGATCCGAGAATTCCACCAGCCGGCAGTTCAAGTTACTTTTGCTCGTTATTGTATACCGTACAGAAGTTAGTTGGGAGTAATATTTTACGTTCGAAGTGTACATAATTTGTTAAATTAAAGTACATAAAAGGTTAAAGAAAGGACAAACAGCAAATGCTTACAAACTTTATTTAAAAATGTGGATACATCGTACGTATAATAAATATACGCCGTAGAGTACCTAAATCATAAATAAATCTTAAAATTTCTAATATTTTCTCAAGCTCACGGAAAAACCTGACATTTGTGTGTGTAGTTTAAATGTGCAAATATTTAATTAGATAAAAAGCATAACTATAAATAATTTTACTGCATCGCAGCTCTAATTAGAAGTATTGTTGTCACAAAACACCCACTTTTTTCCCTATTGTTCATCATTTTGATTGCCTAATACTGTTTGATGATAAGTCACTGACTGCTTTTATGATTGCTGTCTAGTAACATCACAGTAATTACAGTTCATCAAATTTCTAGAGGCTTTCGACGGCTAGACAGAGAAAGCACTACTGACAGGCATCCCGACGGATTTACGCAATGAAAGTACACTCTGCGCATCAAGTATTTCACTATTTCATTCAGACGTAAATGTCAGATGTAAGTTTCGCAAAAACATTTCTTTTATTTTCGTTTGTGTTTTTTGCTCATTACAGTTTAATAGAACCTAAGTATGGAGTTTAATAGCAAATTAAGAGGCCGCGTGATTAACAGTCAATCTCGCGAAATAATAGCCAATGTTATAGAGTTTATGAGAAGAGAAGGAAACTTTAATTCACCTTCAATACCATTTAAAAATGTAAATGATCGTGTTGCTGCAGCCACAGGAGTATCTAAAAACACTGTCGTCCGCATTTCTGGAGAGAAAAAAAGAATCGATAACCGTGAGATATCGGAATTTTCATCACCAAGAAAAACCATTAAAAAACCAAAAACAGTTAATGATATAGATGAAGCTGCACAAGAATCAAATTTTATTTTTTATTATTAGATAGCTATTTTTGTTTCTGAGTTGTGTTCATTTACAGGCTCAATTTTTTTCCGTTTCTCCTTTTTGATTTTATATGGGGTTTCAAGTTGTTTTTGACTTATTTCGACGTAAATCACAACAACACACTTTTTTAATAAAGCAAACAAGTGTTAAGAGGTATATGTACGTGTAAACTACAATTACAAAAAATTGATATGAAACCCATGAAACCACCAACAAAAATGTAAAGCTAGCTTCCGTACTAGAACATGGTGTCATTCGTCGAGATAATTTATCGTTTTAATAGATCAAGAAATGTAAATATTCCCCTGTTATTTTTTATAAAATTATAAGAGAAATAAATTTTTTTCTAAATAGTATAGTTTATTATTTTGTAGAAAAACAAAATTTCGAAAATTTTAGTAATGTTTCAGAAACAACCGTTATTAATAATAGGTACCATTTTCCTTAATAAGGTAGAAATAAAATATAAACTATTTCCACGATTTACAAAGGCCTACAAAAAAATTATAGGTATTTTCCGCTATCCTATAAAATTTATATTTTCTGACTCAATTTCAAAAGGTTGAAGGAATTCCAAAACACCTTTTATGGCATAATAATTATTTTCAATTCTACATACTATCTTTAGCTGCTTTTAAAAACGTTCTAAGAAAGTCCAATCAGACCAATTTAATCCCTAAACTATTCCACACTTTTAAAATTTAATTACCTAAAAATATTAAAAACTATTTAAAATAACTTGTTTAGCAGACTGTACAATAGCTATCTTAGTCACACGTAGCGCGTTCTCTGTCTGGGCTTCGAACACTTCTAGAAATTTGATGAACTGTACCAATGCTGTACTGGTAGTTTCGAATGGAGTGTATATTGAAAAATGGAAATAGTATATTATGCGCCTCGAAGCTTCGCTTCTCGGTCTTTAATGGACCTCGACAAAATAACTCACTTCTGTGGCTCATATACTATTTTTACTTTCCTAACTGTATACAGATATAAGGAAAGTATAGGAATCATGATTTTTTTCGACCTCGAGTTTTCGACGGATTTTTACGTTTTGAGGTCCCCTGAATCCGTTTTGACTATTTTCGCGATGATGTCTGTGTGTGTGTGTGTGTATGTCGCATAACTCATGAACCGATACATAGAAAAACACCAAATTTTAAACTTAAGCTTTATTCCAGCGTCTAATGAACTGATTAGATTTTGGGCAGAGTCGGAACATCTGGGGGGGTACTTTATAGGTGGTCATTTTTATATTTTATGAAATCTCTGTTATTTACGTTTGGAGAAGAAAATTCTTCAAATAAAAGTTACTTCTAATATAATTATTTTTATACAAAATTTTCCTAAAATGGTCCGTATTCGAGAAATTTGATAAAATGTAAAAAAAAATATTTTTTTATAAAAATTGTTCAAATAAAAGTTGTTTGTAATATAAAATGGACCGTATTCGAGATATTTGAGAAAATGTGTAAATTTCGAATTTTGAAGAAAAGTCAAAAACGGATAAAGAAAAAAACATTAAATTTTAAACTTAATTTTTATTTCGGCCTGAAGTGAAATGATTAGATTTTGGACAAAGTCGGAACATCTGGGGGGGTATTTTATGGGAGGCCGTTTTTATATTTTATGG